ACATGCCTGTAATCCCAGCTTAGTCAGGCAGGCTGGAGCAGAGAGAATTGCTTGAACCCAGGGAGCGGAGGTTGCAGTTGAAGCCAGATTGCGCCACTGCTTACTCCAGGCTGGGCGATCAGGAGCGAGATTCCAATCTTAAAAAAAAAAAAAAAAAAAAAGTTGGCGCGGGTATGGGGCTGACACTGCTATCCACCGGCACTTTGGGAGGCGAGGCGGGCCGCGATCACAAGGTCAGGAGATCGAGACCATCCTGTGCAATGGTGAAACCCCCTCTCTACTAAAAATACAAAAAATTATCCGGTGTGGTCGTGGGGCACTATATAGTCCCAGCTACTTGGGAGGATGAGGTGGGAGAATGGCATGAACCCAGGAGGCAGAGCTTGCAGTGAGCCGTGATCGCGCCACTGTACTCCAGCCTGGGTGACAGAGCGAGAGTCTGTCTCAAAAGAAAAAAAAAAGTCTGAAGCTCCGGCAAACCAGGACCTACATCTTTGCCTGCCATCAATGGCTTCTCCCTTCAGGTGAAACTCACACTCTTCAAACTGTTATTAAAATACCACAGGTTTGGTCTAGGTCCTGCTGCTCACCACACAGAAAGTCAATCACTGAGACAATTATTGCCAAGGAAGAAGGCTTTAATTGGGTGCTTCAGGTGAGGAGATGGGAGATCAGTCTCAAATCCATCTCCCTAATGGACTAAAATTAGGAGTTTATATAGCAGGGAAGAAATGTAACTGTGTGTGGGAAAATGAATGCAAGGGATAAGGAAGCAAATAATGATGAATGAAGGCCCTTGAGTCTCATTGTCTGGATGAGATAATCTGGTGGGTTTCAGTTCTTTGATACTTTTTGAGAGGACTGGGGGTCCTTTCCTGAGAGGGGAACTCAGATAAAACAAATGTAAGTTTCAAGCTTTAAGATCAGATGGGTTGAATTCTATGTTTATCCAAAAAAGCTGTCTATGGGACTATTGGGTTAGTTTCAAAACTTCCCCAATATTGAGTCAGAGTGTGGTCATTGTTAATGTTAGAGTGTGGTCATTGTTAATGTTGAAATACAGAACTAGGCCGGGTGTGATGGCTCAAGCCTGTAATCCCAGCACTTTGAGAGGCCGAGACGGGCAGATCACGAGGTCAGGCGATCGAGATCATCCTGGCTAACACGGTGAAACCCCGTCTCTACTTAAAAAAAAAACAAAAAACTAGCAGGGCGAGGTGGCAGGCGCCTGTAGTCCCAGCTACTCGGGAGGCTGAGGCAGGAGAATGGCGTAAACCTGGGAGGAGGAGCTTGCAGTGAGCTGAGATCCAGCCACAGCACTCCAGCCTGCGTGACAGAGCAAGACCCTGTCTCAAAAAAAAAAAAAAAAAAAGAAATACAGAACTAATCTTCTGTTTCTGAAGGAAAGTATGACAGCGGGCATGGTGGCTCATGGCTGTAATCCTAGCACTTTGAGAGGCCAAGTGTGGTGGATCACCTGAAGTCAGGAGTTCAGATCAGCCTGGCAACATGTTGAACCCCATCTACACTAAAAATACAAAAATTAGCTGGGTGTGGTGATGCACACCTGTATCCCGATACCTGGAGGCTGAGGCAGGAGAATTGCTTGAACCCGGGAGGGGTTGCAGGGAGCCAAGATTGTGCCACTGCATTCCAGCCTGGGGCGACAGAGCCAGACTTCATTCAAAAAAAAAAAAAAAAAAGTATGAAAATAAAAGAGAGGCCAAAGGGCCATGTGTGCTTCAGGGAAGATGAGAAATGGCATAATTTTGTGTGTGTGTGTGTGTGTGTGTAACTGGAGAAATATTCTTACGTATTTATTATTCAAAGTCGATCTGTGCTGAAAAATACAACTCCAGGTGTCATTATTTCTGATCATAGTGACGAGGGGGTCATTACAGGGTCAGACTCCCCAATATGACTCTCAGCTGTACCACTTGCAAGCTACTGACTTCAGACAAGACTGTGACAATGTCCAGATGCCTCTGTAGTTTAAACTGCTTTGACTGCTCAAATATAGCCCGACTGCTATCTTAGCAAGAAAACACCCTGCACACGTGGCTTTCAAGGCTGTGCTAAAGACAACATGAAATCTCACACCCCATATTATTATTTCTGGGATGAGAATGTGCCCAAAGTCAATACTAGCCCAAGCCAAAAGCTAAATCTGGCTCCCATGGGTAGGTTTCTGGCCCTGACTTTGGCAGATGGTGCTGGCCCATGTAACCCACTCTACCCCAAAGGCCACAGCAGGGGGAAGGCTCTGGAAGTCAGAACTTCTGTGAAAGTCACAGGCTGACCTTGGGGATGCTCACATCCTGGGACAGCTCAGCTTAGGTCAAGTGAGGACCATCAGACCCTGTCCAGATCAGAGTGGCTCACTGAATTCTCCAGCCACAGCCTTCAGCAGTAGGTGCCAGCAGGATTTTCAAAATCAGGACCAAGGAATTTGCAGACAAAGGTGACTTTCTCCTATAGGATGTTGAGGGAGGAGAAAGGGAAAAAAGCAGTTGGGCAGACAGCTAAGGCTAGTCCTTGGTAAAATTCTTTTGAAAAATCAAAGCTACAGGCACAGATAGAGCAGCCTGGGGAAAAATCAAGCTGCACCTGCACAGATAAGGGAACAAGGCCCAGGATAGAGGTCTTTGTTCTTTGCATAATCAGCGGGCTCCCGGGAAAATGTTTCCTCCCCTTTTCAGGCATATATATACATGGTGGACTCTGTGGGAACTTGCACAGGGAGGGGGATGGGGGGACTTACCTAAAACATAACTGCAACTACAGAGACAAGAAAAGCTACATGTGCTTTCCTAAAGACATGCCCACAGCTGCACAGTTAATGGTAGTTACACAGATAGGAGAAGTTACACAAATAGCTACAGAGATGAGGGAAGTTAGTTTGTTTGTTTGTTTGTTTCTTTCTTTCTTTCTCTCTCTCTCTTTCTCTTTCTTTCTTTCTCCTTCCTTCCTCCTTCCTTCCTTCCTTCCTTCCTTCGTTCCTTCGTTCCTTCCTTCCTTTTTTTTTGAGACAGAGTCTCACTCTATCGCCCAGGCTGGAGTGCAGTGGCGTGATCTCGGCTTACTGCAACCCTCCATCTCCTGGGTTCAAGTAATTCTCCCGTCTCAGTCTCCTGAGTAGCTGGGATTACAGGCATGTGCCACCATGCCCCGTCAGTGTTTGTATTCTTAGTAGAGACGGGGTTTCACCATGTTGGTCAGGCTGGTCTCGAACTCCTGACCTCGTGATCTGCCCACCTCGGCCTCCCAAAGTCTTGGAATTACAGGTGTGAGCCACCACGCCCAGCCAGACACTCCATTATTTTTTGAGCCACTAATAAAGGAAAAGAAAAAACGTTTTCATTGAGACATAATGTCCAGTAAAAAATACATGTCTTTTTTTTTTTTTTTTTTTTTTTTTGAGATGGAGTCTCACTCTGTCACCCAGGCGGGAGTGCAGAGGCACAATCTTGGCTGACTGCAACCTCCTCCTCCTGGGTTCAAGTGATTCTCCTGCCTCAGCCTCCTGAGAGGCTGGGACTACAGGCACATACCACCACATCTGGCGAATTTTTCTATTTTTAGTGGAGACGAGGTTTCACCATGTTGGCCAGGCTGGTCTCGAACTCCTGACCTCAGGTGATCTGCCCACTTTGGCCTCCCAAAGTGCTGGGATTACAGGTGTGAGCCACTGCACCTGGCAAAATGCACAAGTCTTAAATGTGCAGTTCAATGAAATTTTACACATGTATATACCTGTGTGACCACCACTCAGATCAAGATACAAAACCTTTCCAACACCTCACACGTTTTCCTCATTTCCCCCCTCAGTCAATAATTCCCCACCCTCCCAGAGTTAACCACTGTGTGTTTTATAACATTTATTAAAATTTTCCTTGGGTCTGAATGTTACAGGGCTGGAATCATACCATCCTCTCTTCTCCAGCGTGCTTCTTTCATTCAACCTTATGTCTGTGCAATTCATTCATGTTGCAGTGTGTAGCAGCAGTTCATTCTCTTTTCATTGCTGTATAGTTGTCAATTATATAAACATACTGTTTTTTTGTTTGTTTTTTTGAGACAGGGTCTCACTCTGTCACCCAGGCTGGAGTGCAGTGGCGCAGTCTTGGTTCACTGCAACCTCTGCCTCCTGGATTCAAGCGATCCTCTCACCTCAGCCTCTCCAGAAGCTGGGACTACAGGCTTGCGCCACCATGCCTGGCTAATTTTTGTAATTTTTGAAGAGACAGCGTTTTGTCACATTGCTCAGGCTGGTCTTGAACTCCTGAGCTCAAGTGATGCACCCCCAATGTGCCGGGATTACAGGTGTGAGCCACTGTGCCTGGCCCAATTATATCAATATACTGTTATTATCCATTTTGCTGTTGATGGATATTTGGATTGTTTCCAGTTTTCTTTCTTTCTTTTCTTTTTTCTTTTTTTAGACAGGTCTCGTATGCATAGACTGGAATGTAGTAGTGTGATCATGGCTCACTACAGCTTTAACCTCCTGGGATCAAGCGATCCTCCCCACCTCAGCGTCTGGAGTCACTGGGACCACAGATATGCACTACGGTGCCTGGCTATTTTTAAATTTTTTGTAGAGATGGGGTCTCCCTATGTTGCCCAGGCTGGTCTCAAACTCCTGGGCTCAAGGGAGTCTCCCACCTCAGCTTCCCAAAGTGGTGGGATTACAGGCATGAGCCACGGCACCAACTTTATGTTTTTGTT